GGGGCTAATCCTTGCCCGTATTTATAGCTTTTCCAGAGAGGGGGTCGACAAGGTTGGGTCCGCCATTGTTGATTGGTCGAGGGTGGAAAGTTAAACAAACTTATGCCAGGGCTATCTTGCTTAATTTTAGCGTTATAATAATTTATTATATGCATAGTTTTCGTGAGAGGCCAAATTGCGACTATGTGCCTGGCGTATAAATATGGAAAATTTCGGCGGGCGCGCTTTCTAGAACCTTCTCCAAGATGGCGGACGCACGTGGTCGGGCCTTCTAGAACTTCCTACAGGTAGCTATGGCGAAATCCGAGAATGCGCCTCAGTGTAAACATCTGGTCTGTGCATCCACGTCCAGCACGAAATCCGGCTTAGTTGGGCCTCGTCTTTGTGTCACGCACAGCCTGGAATGGCCTGAGTAGGACAATAGCGAAGATCTTCGCAGCAAGGTCGATGAGACATATGTCATGGTATTTCTCGCATCTCGTCTTATCTCCCTTGAGGGTAGGTACAAGGATGCCTAAGCCCCAGTCATTAGGAACAACCTCTTCTCTCCACGCTCGTTCAATCACCGCATGGAGCCAGGGCGCCAGAGTGTCGACACAAGACTTGCAGATTTCAGCGGGTATACCGTCTTCTCCGGGTATCTTAGTGTTGCGCAACTTTCGTATGGCATCGGCGACTTCTCCTTCGGAGGGGGGGGGGGGTTCACATGGTACTGCATAGGTAGGAGAGGGAAGAAACTCCGCTGCGGAGGACAGCAAGGGCGAGGTAGGTTGGGTATTGAGGTTTAGATAGTGCTAAAAGTGCTCACGCCAGCGCTGTACTTCGGCCGAGTTGTCAGCAATAATGCCGCCGTTCACATCGCGAACAGTCATTCAGTGTAGAGGGCTTACCGCTAACTTGGCGGGTCAGACGGTAGGGCTTTTGAGTGTCACCAACGTTCGTGGCCTGTTCCATGGAGGTCGCTATTTCAGCGCAGCATTGCTTCTGGTCATCCCTGGCCGATTTCGTCGTCGTCTTCCGAAGTTGTCTGAAGCAGTAGTCGTTGCGGGACCTGGCTCTAGCCGTCTGAACAGACAACTGCAGGGTTCTTCCGCTGATCCAGTCACTGTGGCGTCGCTGGGTGTATCCAAGAATTTTCTCAGCTGCCCCATAGACTGAAGTCTTCAGTGACGACCACTAGTTACTGAGCCAAGCCCAATGCGGCCAAGAAGATGACTGGTTGTGGTGTCGCCAGGTCCAGTTTGACTATTCCAATCGCCAGCAACAATCAGCAGATCGCAGCGAGGCAGTCTTTCAACTAGCGCTTGCAACTGAGAGTAAAACGCCTCTTTATCGCGCTGTTTGGCAGCCGAAGTTGGTGCATACACAGAGACGATTGAGATGTTCGTGAAGTGACCCTTCAATCACACGTAGGTCATTGACTGGTTCCCAAGCAAGTAGCGCGAAGTCCGCTTGTTACGATTGGGGAATCGCCACTCCGTGTCGACCAGAAGAGTCGCGCGGGCCGCTGTGGTACAGGGTAAAGTGTAATTCGACTCCAGGGATCTTTATTTCACGGGAGCCTGAGTCAGGGAGTCGAATTTCAGACAGACAGCAGATCATCACTGGTCTGCACGACCACAAGGTGACAGACATTCTCCTTTTGTACCCTCCCACTAACTTATCATCGGCCATTCGACAGTGCCGACTTTACGAAATACATCATTCTGGTGGTAAAGGTACACCGCCTTATGACTGCAAACCTCTACGTCCAACGCCTCCGCCTACCTGCAAGCCATCCTCCCTACCGGTACGCTTTCCTGGCTACGACCCAGGGAGCACATACTTTACGGCTTTCGGCCAACCTGCCAAACGCTGTGGACACAAACTTCCAAGTAGGTTCATGCTCGTTGTCCGTGTCTATTTAGACACTGCCTCCCACTCACTTCCTTTTACCATACCGGCTAACTTTGGTGGTCAATCTGTGCAGGCATAGTAACATTTGTTAAGAATGGCTTGTACGTTTCAGAAAAAAACTGCCAAATTGACTTGTAGTACGGACGCATTATGGCTGATCATAAGGGCAGCTTGGAATGCTTTCCCTGATTACGTTATGTCGGGATCCGTAGACACTTTTAAACGGAGGTTAGATCAACATTGGAGAAAGAAAAGGGGGCGTTCACCGGGAGAGGTGTATTGGAGGTCTGACGTTTCTTCTACCCATCTTCAGAGACTGAGAAGTCATGCGCGCAGCTTTCCTTATATGGCTAACTTTGCTTGATGCCTGGCCCGCCAATACCGCCTGTGTGGCTGCATCCGACTCGCATGTCACCGTGACCTGAATCCCACCCATCGTCGTCGTCTGCGGCGATAATTGACGGCCCCTATTGTCCCGCGCCGTGACCGTTGCCCGTCAGGAATGTCCGTGATTCAGGTCACGGTGACATGCGGGTCGGATGCAGCCACACAGGCGGTATTGGCGAGCCAGGCATCAAGCAAAGTTAGCCATATCAGGAAAGCTGTGTGCATGACTTCTCAGTCTCTGAAGATGGGTAGAAGAAACGTCTACTCGCAACGTCAGCCGGTGAACGCCTCCCTTTCTTTTGGTATGCCACCTGGGAATCGCATTTTCACTACTATTGAAGTATGCTAGAAAATATTTTTTATGCCAGTTGCCGAAACAACTGGCAGTACTCACAAATGGCGCGTTAATGAAATGCACTTGTATAGGTTATGAGATCAGAGTTCATTATATCTGCACATACGCAGATTTCAGTCACATGTCAATTTAGAGTCTGCACTCCCGCTATTGCCGCATCGCCGTTGGTGGTTGTCTTCGGCGGCCACCGGCCCCACGTGTGTATACATCATATGCCTTTAGGGATCCCCGTATAGCACAGACGCACAGATCAGATATATCATAGTCCGTTAATCCGACGGTTTTCCGGTGCCTTTCCGAACTCCTGAGAATTCCGCCTCGTGATGAGAATATCGCCGGCTTGTGCAGGACCGGGTAATCGCTCGGCTTTCCGAAGATTGCGCGAAGATTGTTGGCGATTTCAGCGGTAGAGTAACGATTTGCTTTTCCCGTGTACACCCGGTCCATGTAGCCCTCACCGGCAACCACAACATCGATGACGTGGATGGCCCCCTTCTCACAAACCACAATATCGGGCTTGCAATAGGAGGACCCTTCAGGGACCTGAGGCTCCAGAAGCACATCGGATTTATTTCTCCTCATCTTCGCGGCGGCTGTTTTCATGGTGTTATTGTGACGCCAGATCCGCGCATCCTTGGCAGCTCTGTAGAATATGGGGGAGGGTTTCAACTTGGCCGCAGTGCCCATGACAGAGGGTATCAGAGAGCCTTTTTCTCCTACTCCTGCGGGCTTTCGTTGACAGGACACCAGCACGAAGCTGAATGCCCCGCAAGTAGAGCCAGGGGAACAGTCGGTCAGGAGAGGATAGCCAGTGGTGAACACAGGCAGAGGTCCCGATATGGGCAAGTGGACGGCCGTCCACTGAGCGGTGTAGCTGTTCCTTCCACATTTGCTGCGCATCGGTCTTCGAGTTGATAACAGTCTGGTTGATAAGCACAGGGCGAGAGGCTCGATGAAGAGTTGCCGCGGCCACAGGTAGTGCCGAGACCACTCTGACTGCAACCTCCGCGGATGACAGCTGTGCATCCAGACGTTTTCTCTTCATAAGCGGAATACTGGTAAACAGGCAGGGTAGTCCGATTCCACCGTCCGTTAGACGCGCGTAGAAGAAAGCCGTCGGCGTATCTGCGGGAAGGCGTAACCAGGTTCGTACTGCCTGTCGGATCTGTACATCGAGGCGCTTTAGTGTCTGCCGGTATACGGCGCCCAGCACCAGATCATGCATGAGTTTAGGCACACAATGACGTTTCAGGAGTGTTATCCTCTGGTGAGGTTTCAACGGGGCCTGGGAAATCTCCGTGAGCATCTCATGTAGTAACGGACGGTGCCGGATTGGCTGTTTACCGCGGTAGGTAAACGGAACCCCCAGGTAAGTGAAGGACTCCGTTGGGCCTAATACCCGGAGCGGTTCTCCCCCAATGCCTACAGTGCACGGGCTGAGACACGAACTCTTCGCTTTTCCAAGCGCCTGTACATAAAATGCCGGACACTTGGCCGGATTTAGGACCATCCCTGCGTGGGACAGACCAGCAGCCAGACCATCGAGACGCCCTCGTAGCCGGAAAGGCGATTCAGCAAATATGACGAGGTCGTCCGCGTACGCTATGGTATCAACCGTAGTGTTAGCAATGTCCATTCCAAGCTGCCGATTTGAGTAGGCTAACGCTTCAGATAGCGCTAGAGAAAAGAGAAGCGGGGAGAGGGGTTCACCTTGGCGAACACCTCGAAGGCATTTTACCTCAGTATCAGATAGGTGGGTCGTTAGGCGTGAATAGGTGGAGTCCAGAAAGGAGAGAAGAGGAGGTGGTGCGCCACCAGCAGCGGCCGCTCTCAAGATAGTCTCATGGTTAACAGAGTCAAACGCTTTGGACACATCAAGTACCGCCACCGCAACCGATTTGGGAGTTGTGACTGCGTACCGGAGTATCCCCTGCAAGAGACCTGTCGTTTCGGCTGTGCCGTCCCGCGTTCCTGAAATCCAAACTGGAACCGAGCTGACGGACAGCAGCGCGACCACCTTAGTGCTAGAACGCGGCTCGACATGCGTGGGAGCACATTAGCTACCGCAATGAGTCGGTACTGGGAAGGATATTGGGGAGTAGGCACCTTCGCAATTAGAGTGGTACGACTGATGCAATGCTGACCCGGAAGTTGGCCAATCGCTAGGATGACATTCAAGTACGCCGCAATGGCAGCCGGCGGCCAAGCCGCAATAACACTGACGTCCAAGCCATCGATCCCTGCAGCCGATCCGCGCATTTTCGGAATCTCGCGGGTGACATCGGTGCTCAAAACAGGGTTCAACAAACTCCAATGCTTCACTACAGGTGGTACGGGGCGTTGGTCCTGACCACTGGGTGTCTCAGAAATTGCTTTCCAGTGTCCCAGCTGGCCTAGGCGGCTCAGCACCTGACGCCGATCGCCAGTCGCCCGATAGGACGAACTGTGCAGCCAGTTTAGGGCGCTTTGCCAGGCGGGCCTGCACCTCTGCATACTGAGCTTTCCGGAGTTCTCGTTTGTTACGTGGCTTATCAGTCTTTGGCCGGCGGTTCACTCCTGGACGCCAACGTCGTGGGAAAACGTTTTTGGCATGCGCATCCATACGTCTGTGCGCGTGAGCGGTGTCAATCTCTCCCATGAGCGGGTCTACCGCTAGAGACACAATGTCGTCTGATGCGAGGGCCTGACAAGGTGAATCAGTTAACTGAGTAACAGCAGTTCTCAGAAGTTGAGATCGGTAATCAACCGTTTCACTCTCTTCCGTAGGGTTGTTAGAAGGGGGGGTAGAGTTGGGAGGGGAACGGACAGTTGGTCTAGATGTAGCTGCCACTGAATTCCTCAAGAGGAGATCATCCTTTTCCATTTTGCTAAGCCTTTTGTAGATGGCTTCCGCACTTCTCGTGGGAAAAACCCCCTGCAGCCTTCGTGCAAGCTCAGGCAGGGACAGTTGACCATCTGCCAGGAGGGCAGCTGCACGACTGCACAACAAATTGTCCTCCTGCGGCGTCCACACTGACCGGACAGGCGCCAAGTGGATTCTGTTCCGGTGGTACTCGTCAGGATGCGCACTCTTCGTGTGCATAGAACATCCTCGTGAGGTAGGGAAGGTTTTCTCACAATACTGGCAGTTGATAACGTCGGAATCATCGGTAGGTCGGGTAGATTGGTTCGTAGTGGGTGGGTCGTACACAGACGGTAGTCCATATAGTTCCGGATGGGCGCTTCGAAAATGCAATTTCATACCAACTGCAGAACCAACGACACGAACACACTTTGGGCAGGGCAATAAACGGGATTCGAGAACGCCTGTAGAGACAGGTTGTTCAGCCGCAGCCGGAGGGCTGGGTTCAGTAGAATAATCCACGGAGTCACTGACGCCGTGGGATCTAGCACGCGTTTGGCTGACGAACAACTCAACATCCGAAGAAGAAGAGAAATCCGTGACCCCAGGAGTACCACGAGGAGATAACGTGCTGTTACTAAGACTCACCGAGGAGGACAGGGCCGAGTTCACAGAAAAGACAGGGATTAGTTCCTCGGAGCACCCACCAGGCAGGTGGGCACGAGAACATTGGCGAAGACAAGAAACACACAGCAAGACATTGGATTCTTCGCTAGAGAGAGTCATAGTTACCGTTGAACCACAGGAGCCAACGGTTTGACCACTCCTCCAACCGAATTAGGTTCACCTGCCTTCGTTGGTAGGGTCCTGAATTACACTCCATATCTTCACGTCATCGGCAGACATTGCTACTTCGCAGTCCAAAACTCTTGCGGCATTGTCCACGTATATAAGGAACAAAATGGATCCCAGTACTGAACCCTTGGGAGCAGTAGGATATGATTTCCCTTAACCGATGCACACGACCTGGTGTCGACCCAAAGGGAAGTTTTCGATCCATTTAAGGAAGTTGCCACCGATCCCTATTTTTTAGTTTGTGTAAGAGTCTCTGGTGTGGCACAGTGTCGAACGCTTTCTGGAAGTCGATGAAAGCTATGTGGACCGCATGTCTGTCGTCGAGAGCTCGGTTCCAGCTCTGGAGAGATTGCAGCATGTTTGTCGTGCAGGATCTTCCTTTCTGGAACCCATGTTGGCATTTTGATAGCTGGCCGTGAACTTCCAGGAATTGCATCAGTCCACTTTTTATGATCCTTTTCATAGCTTTGCAGAGAATACATGTCAAACTCATGGGCCTGTCAATGGTAGTGAAAATGCGATTCCCAGGTGGCTTATCAGAAGAAGAGTAGGCGTTCACCGAGAGGAGTTTATTTTAGGTCCGACGTTTCGAGTAGTTTACTCGTCTACCCATCTTCAGAGACTGGGAAGTCCTGTGCACAGCTCCCCTTATATGGCGCACTTTGTTCACTGCGTGATCCGCCAATGCCGCCTGTGTGGCTGCATCCAACCCGCATGTCACCGTGACCTGAATCGCCCCCGTCGGCCGCGGACAAATAAACTACTCGAAACGTCGGACGTCAAATAAACCCCTCCCCGTGAACGCCCCCTTTTGTTTTGTCATGGGCCTGTACTTTGTCGTCGCTGCAATGTTGATCTAGCCTCCGTTTAAAAGTATTTACGGATCCCAACATAACAACATCCTCAGGCAAGGCATTCCAAGCTGCAACCACTCTGTTGGAGAAGAACTTTCGTGTATCAATTTGGGCACCAGTCACACGTAGTTTGAGTGGATGGCCTCTCTGGTTAGTCGTAGTCGCGAAGTAACCGTAAAATAATTTAAGGTTCTCCGCGGCACGGTTAAGCAGATCCCGTTAGAATTCCCTTCTAGTTTTGAGGATAAGGCTCTTGACTCGATTTCTTTGAACTTTATACGCACATATATATGTGGGGCTCCTGTCGGAAAGCGATTTTTTCCACAGCCTTCGTTTTTTTGCTCAAGGCTTGTGTAAGCCATCGAGGTCTGTTAGTTAACCTCTTCCGTGAAAGCGGACAGTGGTTTGCGATCAGCTCGTGCAGAATTTCTCGGAACCGTTGCCAATCTTCGAGTATGCTTCCAACAAATACGGACTCCCACTAAATGCGTGAAATTTCAGCCCCCATTTGGTCGAAATCCCCGCGCCAAAGGTTTCTTCTAACTGTCACAGGTCTCTCGAACATGGAAAAAAGCGAGTACTCCCATAGAAGAACGACGTGGTCACTTTTACCTAAGGGGGGTAGGCATAACACCTCATCAATGCTGTCCTGTGATTTCGTAAGGACGAGATCAAGGCAGTTGGCGAGTGCGAAATAACTTCAGTGTCATGTTCAGAGCACTCCCATCGAGGGTCGATTCTGATCTATTTGCATGGGTCGAGCTCCAGTCAATACCAGGCACCGTAAAGTCGTCCCTGATCAGGATATCCGGCCGCGTAGCGAAATTATTGAGCCCCTTCAGCAGGCGAGCGTCGGCCATGTCCCGTCTCGGTGATCGATAAACTGTCAGGATATCGAGGCTAGGCGAGCTCGGCACTTTAATAGACAGCCAGATTGCCTCAGAACTGCTCGAAAATTTATCGTTTTTGTCTGATACATTTATCCCATTTTTCACATGCGTGGTTACACCTCCTCCCTGACGCCCGTCCCTATCCCTTCTAAACATCGGGTAGCCAGGCAAGGCCAACTCGCGGTCGTCCACGTGTTGGGTGAACCAGGTTTCTGTTTTGAGAGAGAGGAATGCCTTATTTTGAAAATAACACTCAAAACTTTCACCAAAATTGGTTCTCCAGTACACAGTGATTACCATAGAGATTAACAGTTATTGGACGGATGCGCATAATTATATATGAAGAAAAAAGGACTTTAAGGTGCAAGATCGAGTTTTAGCTTTTGTTTTTCAGCATCTTTGCAGGTGAGATACCGGGCTAGAAATGGCAGTATGGAATTCTGATAAGCCGAAGTGCGACAAGGGATGTGGCGGAAGCATCGACGCATGGGGCGTAAGGATTTCGCAGCTATTAACTCATTATGAAGGGGATGGACGGTGTCATTCAGAATTCGGTCAGCAAATCGCTCCACCGTATTGAAGTGTCGCTGCACGATGATATCAACTAAAATATGATAGGAAACACCAGCAGCAGAGGCGAGCATTCGAATGACAGGTTTAAAAATAATTAGATCTTTTTTAAGTAAAGCTGGAAAAATAACTGGAGAACAATAAAGAATGAGTGGAAGGATACAGCCGTCTATGAATCGCCAGATTAAGGACTGGGGTGTATGATATGAACGTAGAGGACGAATGTTATAAACAAGTTTTTGAATTTTTGTTAAAAGGGTTTCCATATGAAGAGATATTTGAGGACAAAGTAACACCTAGGTACTGGAAAGAGGATACCTCATTGGGAAGAATATCCAAAGGTTCAGGAATGGGAGAGGGTCGCAATCGAAACATACACTGTACTGATTTCTGATTGTTGAGTAGGAGTCCATTATTCGACGACCATGCGGAGACGTGATCTAAGCCATCCTTGTAGAACTCCACAGTTATTTGGAAGAATAGAAGATTTTCTCTTTCCCGACTGGACAAACTGTGTGCGGAAGGAAAAATAATCTCTAAGCCAAGAAACAACCCAGCTCGGAGCATCACACGCAGCTGCTTTGGTCAGTAGGAGTTGGCGCGGAATAGTATTGAAGGCGGATGAGTAGTCGAGAAAAGCACATGCATATGCACGGCATCCCTTGTCTAAGTCTCTCAAAGCTGAATGGACAACTAAAGCAACAGCATCCAAGGTGCTACGCTTTGCCTTGTATGCAAATTTTAGAGGATCAAAAAAATTGGCGGAGGAGTACTTAAGGGAATCTAATGCCTCTCGTTCAGTAAGTTTCAGGAGTACAAAATAGCAGGCAATAGGACGGAAAGATTTAGGAGCAAAAGTTAAAAATTTTTAGGGATTGGAGTAATTCTTACTGTACGCCAGGCGTCAGGAATCTTGGATTAATAAGGTGGGTCAAGACGGGAGCTATCTGCGAACAGCAAGACTTAAGGAGAAAAGGAGAGACACCGTCCGGCCCAGCCGCCGTTGACCCGCGAACCTTTTTATGATGTTGTCACAGGAGTAAGGTCGCATGGTGGTAGGTAAATTTCGTTTGGGCGAGAATGGGAGTCGTTAGAAGTACAGATAAAATTTCGATTTAAAGAGTTTAAATCTACATCAATGGGTCCAAGTATATTACGTTGACCAGTGAGGCGCTTGAGATTCCTCCACAGTTCAGCAGAAGGAAAAGGGGAGGAGGGGGTGGATGAAGCAGAAAAAAGTTGACTAACAAATAAACCGTTAAGTCTGGCAATTTCGTTCTTTATTAAAACATTGATATCCTTCACCTTGTCACGCTGACCTAGTTTGTAGAAGGCTTCTTTGCGATGTCTCAAGTGTTTGAGGTATGGTGAGGAGATTCTGTCAGCCCAGACCATAACAGTTGCACGGGATAACAAATATCAAAAATGTGATTCAAAAATAGCGTAAGATAGTTAGAGCATAATTCAGCATTTTGTAGTGCTAGAAAGGTTGGGATGGTACTAGTAATCGAACTCTGCAGTAAGTGCATCTTATCTACGGATGTGTCTCGAACAGTAATTTTCCTCTCGGATTTTGTAAGCAGTCGACGCTTAGAGGTGGAATAGACTTTTGGAAGTCCTAGTAGCACTGAGTGATCAGACCCGGAGAGCGGAACTCTATTTTTAATACAAAAAAGCTTTGGGTAATTGGTCAAGATGTGATCAAGAGGGGCATCAGCCCGTGTATTGAATGAAACAAGGTCATCAAGACCCAGAAGGGTAATGGGCCGAAAACTCACACGGTTAAAATCATCGCACAAAAGAATAAAATGGTCTGAGGATAATGAAGCAAGTTTTTGTGTGAGAAAGTCAAAAACGGCCCAGAAAGCCTTCATTTTTGGAAGGGGGATGTAAATACTGACAAATATGATACCTTTGAAGCTACTTAACAAATAGGGCTTACAGATAACAGCAGTGACATCAATTAAATCACCAGAATATGAAAACAGGGGCTTACAATTTATACACCAATTTTGATTGACAAAAATGGCTACTCCTCCACCTCTACTGCCTGTTGGAGATGGTCTATCACTTCGAAAACAACAAAATGACGAAGGAGTGATTAGTTCAGAGTCAATATGGCTATTCAACCACGTCTCCTGAAGGCAAATTACTCCTGTTTTGCCATGTTCTTTGGTTGACAGAAGTAATTCCAAATCATGGGCCTTGTTAAATATCGATCGACAGTTAGTCGAAAGAAAACCCGGGATTGACAACTTGTTTTTTGGCTGGCGTTTAAGCGCAACTTGCCATCCACAGCGATGTTGCTTTAGAAATATTGGCCTTTGTTGATACGAGCGTGGGAAGGCCAACGAGGAAGGACGAGAAACAGGACAAGTTGTCAGAGTGTAACTGCTGCTGGCACGGTGAGTACGTTGCGTTTGGAAGCGTGATAACGCCAACGCAGGACAATCGCAGAAACGACAAATTGGCCACAAAGTGCAACAACTAGAGTCATGATCAGGAGGCGGAAAAATCGATGCAGAAATTTCGCAGGGTTTAAGATCCTTTAAAAAGGGACTCGCGTAATGTAAAGACGACCTCATAGGAATAGATCAATTAAAACAAAGGAATAAGCCTGGGGTATGCAATTAATAAGTGTTCACGTGATTGGAGGGAAAAAACAAAAAATGACGGCTCAGTTTCAAAAGCCCGCTTCTATGAAGAGGATAGATCGCAGAGGTGGATCTTCAGCTCGTCGAACTTTGATAGCAAACTCTGCACGTTGGTGTAGAAGAATTTCACTTTCCGGCTGACGGAAGATGTGGTTACAGTTTGGCTAGCGCCTTCACTTAATATGTCGGCTGCGCAGTCATTCGGACCGGACCTGTCCAAAGGAAAAGTGACGGACGCCTCCGTACTTGGGTGTTGTATACACCTAAATTGTCCTCCCCCTCGCTGAGCCTCTTTCTTAGTTTTAGAACTAGTTGACGTTTCAGCCGTTCCGCTGAAGAGTAATCCGGTTGAAAAAAAACACTTGGGTTGGAGCCTTTAATCCTGAATCGCCTAGGGAGAATGAGACTGGCTTGTTCGCTGCTGGCTAGCACAAGTTTAAGCGGTCGGGGACGAATCAACACTGATGGATTATCTGCACGTTCTCCAAGGCGGAAGGTTTTACTCACTTCAGTAGCCTCTGTGCGTTCCAAAATATTATTGAGAAGACCTTGGAAGGGTAATAGGTCTTCCGAAACCCGCTCCTTGGGAGTATTTGCACTTGATTCAGGGAGCCCCTGAATAATAAGACATTTTTCTCTCGAGTGGAAGAGAATATGCGCATCCCAGGTTCTTGTTTAAAAGAAGGCGAAGGCACGATCACTGGGACAGTAGGTTTATTTGCCTGAGCTTTCGAACTCGAACTAGAGTTCATCATCAGAGGCTACTCGAGTGCAGCAAATTGTGAACATTTATATCGTTCATCCTTGTGGGCGGGCGAGGGGGGAGTACGTCCGTGGCTAGGTAGGGTTTGTGCCGCCTGGTCCACGATGTTCCCCCGGCGTGGTGACGCCGTTTGTACTTCGTGACGGTGTGAGCTGCGCCACCTGGCTGCGTGGGCGGAGCGCGTGATAACACGCAGGCAAATCGATGTGTCTGTTGATGGAGTTGGTGTCCGACACCCACGCCTCCAACAGCTCTCGCCCTGACTTGTTGCCGGCTCGCGCCAATATCCGCGTGTTGGCGAAGTCGAACTCATGCCCTTCCTCGAGCGTGTGAGTGGCTACTTGAGACAGTGGGTCGCCTCTCCGAACGGCTCGTTTTTGCTCAAGTATTCGTGAGCTGAGACGTCGTCCTGTCTGGCCTGTGTAGTGGCAAGGACAGTTTTGGCACGGGATTCGATAGACTACGCCCGACTGTTGACCTGCGTCCAGCCGTTCCTTCATTTTCATGATCCTGCTACGCATGGTGGCCGCCGAATGATGAGCGATGCCCACGCCTAGCTCTGACGCGATGCGTTCTGTAGCCCCGGGCACATTCTTTATGTACGGTTTCTTTTTTATTTTCTACGGAAGTGTGGTTCCCTAAATGACGTAACGCTATGGGACTATGCGCTGGTAATGGTGGAGCAGATGCGCTTACGCTGTCTGTTTGTTTGACTCATATGTTGACAACCTTGAAAGAAGCGCTTGACAGAGAAGATTGTGAATAGAACTCTGTGGATTTGATGGATGAATCGATTCTACCGCTCGTACTAGGCCGAGAAAGCCTCTGACTTCTGTTGGAGTCTTCGGCGTGGGCCATGATCTGACAGCCTTTACTTTCTCCTGTGCGCCTTGTAGGCTGACTTCGTGACCAAGGAATGTGACTTTCCGGCACAGAAATTTGCATTTTTGTGGGTTTAGACGTAGGCCGGCATGGCGCAGAGCGGAGAGGACTACGGCAAGTTTTGCGTGATGTTGCCGGGCCGTGCGGTGCGAAGGCTGACATCACCCTTAAAGAAGAGGACTGCTGGCCGTGTATCCAAACACGATCACGGGGTCGAGGTATATCAAACAGCAGTGAGGGTATACGTGGACCAGGACGGACTGCATCAGTTGTTGGAAGGTTGCGGCTGCGTTGCATAGCCCGAACGGCATGGTTTCGAGTTCGAAGAGTCCTTGTGGTAGTATAAACGCAGCTGTCGGGCGGTCTTTAGGTTCAACCTCTACTTGCCAATAACCCGACTCGAGGTCAAACGTTGAGAACCATTGGGCTCGGGCTAGCGTCCCGAGGTTGACATCAATTCGTTGAAGTGGATAGGATTCTTGACTGGTGACTGCGTTAAGTTGTCGATAGTCTCTACAAAACCGGAGTTTGTCGTCTTTTTGGCACTAATGTGGCTGGTGATGCCCAGGGCGACTTGGAAGAACGGATTATCCCCGTGGTCAGCATTATTTGAATTAGATCACTCATCCCTTTTTGAAAGTGTGGTGGAATTCGGCGTGGGGGTTGCCACAGCGGTTTCGACGTGCCTGTGTCAATGCTGTGACGGATGACAGCGGTGCGACCTAAGGAGGTATCGTCTTTTGCGAAAACATCGCTAAACGTAGTCAGGAGTGACTTCAATTCTTCCTTTTTGGTTACAGCGACCGTATCGTCTGAGGGTAAGACCGTGTCTATACTTGTGGGTGGTAAGGCTGCCGACGCTGCGATGGCCGCGCAGGTGGCTTCTTCGTCAAACTCGGCGGCTGTTGGATGACTAGGCAATGACTTATGTCCCAAGGATTGTATGCGGTCTTTGACTATAATGCGACAGTTAGGTGCAGAAAGGAAATCTAGTCCGAGTATCATGTCCCACGACATCCTGTGTGTGACGACAAAAACTTGTTCCTTAACGCTGACTGGAAAGGAGATGGGCAGTCTAACCGTCCCTAACGTGGTCTTGGGTGACTCGTCTGCTGTTTTGAGATGTGGTGAGTGTAACCGCTTTGCCTGGCAAGGTTAAGCCACTTAGCGTCTTGTACATCACCCGTCACCAGACGACGGTGCACTTTACCTACGTGCTATCTTCGATAGAAATAACATTGACGTCCATCAATTCCTCACTGATATTGACAAAATCGCCCGAATGGAGCTACACCGTACAAACGCGTCTAATACATCTGCCCAAACCAACGACGTAGTGGCACGTGTGTCGACTAGAGCCTTAATGGGTTTGTTGTCTAGGTAAATCGTCGTGTAAAACCGTAAACTATGTTACGTGTAATCAAAGCAGACGGGAATAATGTGGTTACCTTCCTTGGTAATCGCTGCCTCGGTACTGTCTCTATCTCCCCGGAATTGTCTTGGTTCAGCGTTAAGCGGCGGGGGTCGGTTAAATCGCTGTGAAGGCTGGTAGTGTGGTCTGGGCCAGGAGGTGTTGTTCTGTTGTCTGCGGAAAGGGGTGTGGCGAGTGAGTCCGGCATCCAGTGCCTTGCCCATTTGGTCGTCTGCTAGATGTTGTAGTACCGTACGACTGCGTTCGTCTTGTGGGACGTCGTCTAGGTGGAACTTTAGGCGTCGAAGCCAGCATTTAAAATCTTTACTTCCGTCGTAGGGTTTGAAGGAAGACGGGATAGGGTTTGCTGCACTGTTCTTAGACTGCGTGTTTGGCTCGTTCGCTTTCACCATTGTAACGTCCGACCTCAATGAGGGTTCTGCGGCCGAGATCTCACTAGCATCCTTATGGGCTGCCCGGGACGGAACGTCGGGGGCTGGAGCACTCTGTCCGGTCTGCGTATCGTTAGAGTCGTCTTTCCTAGCATTCATCATCGAATATAAATCATCAGGCACACGATAAGACGCGTAATATAATAAGGTTTATTTTAGGAGAGGATAACAGAACCTAGAACGCGGAGCAAAAGGAAGGGCTCGATTAGTCCAACCAAACCGTTAACTTCACAGCTATCCGGGAAAGGTAGAGTTGGGAGCTGCCACCGTGGAGGGATAGTCGTTTTCTTCGCGCACCTCGACTGGAAAATGGGAGATAGAAAAACAGATAGCGTCCAGATGCCAGGTACCCTTGCTCTCAAACATAGCGCCCTTGTCTATTAAAACAACCGTTCATGTCTGTCCGCTACACGGCTACTTCATTCATAACTACCTTTTGCTTGTGACTGAATTTAGCGCCCGTTGTTGTCACGCGTCTTTTGGCTGACTGGGCGTTCTTTTCCAATTTACTTGTTTCTCTGGCTTCGGATGAACTAGTTATTGGACTAGCAAAACTCAAATACTTGTATGATTCATTCATCTTTGTGTGGATAACACTTCCTTCTGTGTTTTCGTGTTGTTCGTCGAAAAAGCTAACCTCAGTTTCTTTCGAAGCTTCCTCTTTAATATTCTGGCTGGATTTCGGCACACAAGGTTTTCCGATGCCTTTATTGTTCAACATAGTTGGGAGCCGCCGGCGGTCCTTGGCAGACCTCCTGGCCGTCTTTCTCAGCTGGTCTGCGTGTATGTAAGCGGCCTTCGTTTTTTTGGACCGTACAGATGTGCGTGTTGTTTTCTTGGAATGTTTCTTTGTTCTCTGAGTTCGCTTTGGCTAGTCTTTTTCTCGCCTAAGAGACTGACCTCCCACCCCACCAGTACGATTTCCGGATCACAACCCTGGATGTCCTTATAGCATGGTGTTCGGACCTCAGGCTCGGCGGGGCTAGGGACGCGATAGCCCCGTCTGGCCCCGGGGGCTAGGCGGGGCCCAGCCCCGTCTGGCCCCGTCCTCGAAAAAAACGCGCAGGGGGACGCCACGCTCTCCGTGATATTAACCCCCCATTTACGTTACCAGTATTATTCCTTTCCTAGTTCTCCGCACAACATGTTTAACTATTCTACTTCTGATCGATGAACACCCATAACCCTTACCTTTGTTAGGTATTGCCCACCCTCTAAATATAGTGATAGCGCCGAAAACTCGAACATGTCCCGAGGTCTACATAAACAAAGACAATGGACAGCAAATTTTGGCATATGATAGTTTATTAAACATATAAAATTTTAAAAAAAACGGAGTAATATGTACAAGGGACATATGGGATAGGAATTTGTTCTGGTTAATCAATTACACGGCATCGTTGTGTTGCCGGAAGTTTTCATCCACGGCAGGCTCCTATAAAAAAACATTAATAAATAAACAATTCTTTATATTAGTAAATTAAGTAATAATTTTGTTTTACTAAACGGCATGCGTGGTGTAACATTTAAGTTGCCCTAAGTAACTTGAAATTTACTTAGGGCAACTTAAATGAAAATTTCAGTTAAATAATTTATGGAGTGGAAAAAAATGCCGAATAAGTAATTATGTCAGAAATACTTTATAAAAACATTTACAGGGGACTAAAGGAATAGTTAGCCATCTTTTTTGGTTAATTAGTCATTTATGTCCCCTGTAAATGTTTTTATCAAGTATCGCTGTCAAAATAACGCTACAAAATAATGAAAAAAATTGAAATCAGTATTAATTAATTTGAAAGTATATCAGAAAGAAGTATCCGGTAATTAGATGTATGTCTTAATGCAAAAATTAAAAATTTTATTTACTGAGCATAAGAAAATTGTGCAGACAGGTTGAATAATTAATGTTAAATATTACTAATATTAAATAGAGGTAAGTAAAAATTAAACTGAAAGTCACAGCTTAGCCGGCTACATAGAAAATATTAAGTTACTCACTGTGTCCTCCGATATTGTTTGCGAAAGTTCAAAGCTGCTCGCTGAATGTTCTAGGGAACCCTAAATCCATGTGTTGTAAAAACTTGTTAGAAAAATAAGTACCATATCAGCAGTTCGGCGCCGTTTGGCTCGTCCTCCGTATCGGTCTCGGGTTCCGTGGAACCATTCAATAGCTGTTTACCGAATTACTTCGGAATGCATCTGCGGTACTGCTCATTGCAGCGTATTGCATCTGCAGGTGTTAAAAAAACATAATAAACAGACCACTTAGGACACTGAACAGAGGGCTCCCTACGAAAGACTTCTTGTCGTTGGAACCTGCCCAACAGAAACTTTGGCAGAGGGGAGGTTCTAGAAGGGCTGTCAGGAGATTACGTATGAACTCCTTTTCAGTCCGTCCCCCAACGGTGGACAAATGCTTTACCTATAAGCAGTAATGAGTGTCTAAGCTTGTTTACATACCGTTTCCTGCGCTAGCTCATTGTCCAATCCAATTTTCGTAATAAAGTCTTTATACGCTTCGGCAGTCCGCAAAGGCAGCTGTAGAAGGGGCGGCTTCTCTTTCGAAACAAAGCTAACTGCTTGTAACGCTCGACGATTGTCGGCTTGCGTGGCTTTGATATCTTGTATATTGGTCTTCACCCAGACCATTTCCTCTGCATTGAAGTCCAATTTTTTCCTATATAATATTAAAGGGTTTTAATCGGTTTACCTGTTACATGCCAACTCTTGTTTGATTTCTTTCAGCAGGTTTCGTATTTCAGGCGCTACGTTCTCGCCGTCGGGCAATCTAAAACGACAATGTGATAAGGCACGATTACTGATAACTAGTTTTTTCTCCTTCTCTTCGTTGAGAATAGGAGGTACCAGGAACATTATCGTTTGTGGGCCTGAAGTTCGAATAAGCCAATGAGACCTACCGGAGTACAGCCGGAGGTACGGGCCACGGGCCTAGCCGTCGGTCTGTGTGCTTCCGTATCTCCTCTATTTTGTCGTCCTCTTCCGAATCGAAAGTCAGTCTTCGGGGAAATCTATGAACATACCCGTTTCAGATCAGATTAGATTTATTAAGGGAAAGCTGGCGAGCGCCTTTGAACTCCCTTTTGGTTACAATAACGTCATAAAAAACAATGTGTAAGGCAAGTGTGAAAATAATTAGGTAAGTAATTACATACAACAGGCATTGGTCACTGGTATGAATTTGTCTGTAAATGCCTTCTAT